ATCGCCTGCGGGCGGGGCCTGCGGGCCGCATCGCCTGCGGGCGGGACATGCAGGTCGCATCGCCTGCGGGCGGGGCCTTCAGAACCGGTCGCATTGCCTGCGGGCGGGACCTTGCCGTGTCGCATGGCAATGGGTGTTTGCAGCAATGCAACCCCATCGCAACACTGGTCTAAGGTCTCCTGGTGTGGTTTGCAGCGATGCAGCCCAGCACGACATGGTCTCTGCATCGCCTGCTGGGTGTTCGCAGCAATTGCAACTCCAGCAGCACACTGGTCTTTAGCATCACCTGCGTGGGTGTTAGCAACTCCATCACAACACAGGTCTGCGTCTGTTGAAGCCGGACCTGTGTACCAAGCAGAGCGGTAAATTACCGTCGTAGAGCCTGTGGGCCGCTGGACTGGTCCTGGTGTAGTCGGGATCTGGGAGCATCATTTCAGTTTTCATTACTGTTCAAAAAACATTTTTTAAAGCTTGTTTAACCCAGCGGACATGATTATTATTGTCGCTGGTTGTTGATGTTGTTGTCTCTTTTATAAACTATAGCGGTATCATGAGCTACCTCAATGCCATTACTTCACCAAGGTGATGCAGCACTTCTTTGAAGTCTTGCTGCCACAGTCTGGAACGCTAGAGGATCGTCAGCTGCTGAAAGAGAAGCTCTCGTCCCACAAAGCGTACCGGCAGTTCAGCGGCGATGGAGATGTTACCTGGATGTCGCGGTTGGCAAAGTCTGCTCACGCCACCTACCACCTGCTGGAGGACCTTAATTAAAGTTTTATGATTCAATTTTTCGTTTGAAGTCCTTCTTGTCTGAGTCTTTTTCTGACCGCTGAACCACCACCCTGTCTGCCATTCACACAGGACATTGTGTACAGCAGGAAGTATGACAATCAGCTCCGCACGGCAGGAAAATCTGGATCTGTGCCGGAACAATTCATGGAATACACAGAATTGAAGGAAGCCTGGGACAAGATCACAGCCCTACTGTCCGATGAGGCTGCTGAACGAAAGGCGCTAGCGGGACAGGCTCCAGAGATGGAGGATTCCGTCGCAGATGACCCTGAATCGGTGCAATCCTTGCGCAAGGGGCCGAATGCTTTTGTGCTTCACAGTGACAAGTATTGGCTTGCGGTTGCGAACCAAACTGTTCGCACATACGTATCCCTGGCGCCTGAGCCGAAAACACAAGAAGCTGTCGTCCGGCACATTCAGCAGGGTCCGCTCAAGGACATTAGCGCTGGGGTGCTGGTGTTGTTGGATTACAACCTCCTGGGAGAATCCATGGGACCGGGTGCAACAGAGGGTCTTCGCCGGAAATACAATCCGAGTGAAGATGTTTTGCGCAAGCTACTGCACGGGGCAATGCTTGCCCTTGGCGGCCAAAAGAAGGAAGACGAGCAGTGCACCCTTCCGCCAGAAGGGATCATAGTCTTCTTGCACTTGGGGGACCGGAGCGCGAAAGAGGCTCGGCACCTGTTCCGTCTGCGGACAGCGCGCGCCGATGCAGCCATCGACGCGGAGGAGAAAGAAATTTGCATCGGGTTTAATGATGAGAGCATGCGCGCGCGGAAGAAACTCAGCCGAGGCAATTACAGTGTGAAAGCCTCCATGTTGGTTTACTCCAACAACACTCTCATTCCTGGAACCATCCCGGAGAAACAATACCCACACCATGGTGGGTGGAACTCCAGTGACTTGATGGCCTTGGTGAAGGCCATCCCGCCAGCAGATTTGTGGTACGCTGCCAGGCGCGAACTTGGTGTTTTCGCAAGCTGTTGCATCGAACCCTGATTGTGTCACTATAATAACAACGGTTGACTTGTTTGAAGCACTTTTCTTTTATATATCTCACGCCAATGCTTCATGTCTGCCTTGCCTGTTTCACAGGACTGACAAGGAAGAAATCATCGGAGCTGATCGTACTGTGAAGCCGACTGACAGCTTTGTGGCGAAAGCCGGGCCGGCAGATCCTGATGCGGCTGAGTCCATTTTTTCTGCCCAGTGCTTGCCGTGTGAGTTCTATTCCGATATTGTCAAGGCTTTCTCAGGCAAGGCAGTTTTGGACCTCAGCATCGGGCAAGGACAGGCAGCGCTCAGCTGCCTGCAGAATCGCATTTGCTACGTCGGCTTTGGGCTGACAGAGAAGCATTGCGAAGCCTTGGAAAAGCGACTGACGCAGAAAGTCCTGGAGGAGATGAAGCAGGAAAGCAGTACATTCTACCGCCCTGAACTGGTGACCACCAATGAAGGCCAGACTGGCACTGACACTGGTAAGGGGCCCAAGAGGCCAGGCGGCAATGATGGAAAGCCAGAACCCAAGAAGCCTAAGGGTGGCCCTAAGCCTAAGCCACAGAATCAGAAGCCAGAGAAGTCAGAGAAGGACAGTAATAAGGGCGAAGAGGCAAAGGAAGACGACGATGACCGTCGCTCGGATTCCTTGCCCTGGTAAGTCCGCTGCCCCGTGCATCTGGAAAGGGATCTCATTGCCCTGGTAAGTCTGCAGCCCCCTGCAGCTGGGAAAGGGATCTCGTTGCCGTGGCAAGGCTGCAGCCCGCTGCAGCGGGAAATGGGTTGAAAGGCTGTGCTGTCCATTGACACAGGTCGTCATTGGGAGCCGTTGCCTTGGGACTGCCCGTGCAGAATCTCAAGAAGTTTTGTCTTTTAGCTAGTCATGAAGCCGAATGGGTGGCGATGTTGGCCAGATATGCAGATGTAAATTTTCAGTCTTTTGGCCACCTGTTCTGCTGAAAACACCGTCATTGTGTTCAGACTTCGGCCTACGACAAAGCATCGCAAAAAAAAACGCCTGCCAAAAATGTGAACATGTAACAAGGCAGGCGCCTGGTAGTTCTTAAATTATATGTCATGTTTTTCAATTTGGTCCCAAACTTGAGATCAAATGCTATCTGATTGCAGCCATCTTCTGTTCTACTAGTGAGTCTGAGAGGCGTCGACTTTAAATATGAACCGGGAAAACAATCGCCTGAAGGACATCCTAACTTTGAATGAGTTGAGCTGCTACGCCCTGCAAGCTGTTGTTGTGTGGGACGATGTCACTGACAGACTTGAAGAGTTGCCTGAACGACTGCGGTCGCTTTTGAGCGTTTCAGGCGCAGAGGTGGAACAAGCTACAGCAGTCTTGCGGAAAGTGCTGGATCAGGCGAAAGACGCTGAGACTGATCTTGCCACCTGCCTGACACTGCCAGATAAGGATGACAAGCCCAACTCGCAGGGTCAGGCAATGAGCTGTGATGCTGAAGAGGGCAAGTGACAGAAGCTGCTCGACTCCTCAGAGACGCTTTAGAATTTTTGTGGAAAAAGGCTGCGAGCGACTGTGAATGATTTGACAGATCGCCACCCACCAGCACCATCCTACAATAATAGTAGAACCGGATAAATACAATCTGATTCCGGGTGAAACAACATTTTGTCGACGGTCATGAATCAAATTGACCTCGCCAATCAGGTCAGCCCCACAAGCAACAATAGGGACTAAAAACAACGACCCCAGGCAAACAAACAACAAACCACAACCTCGAAATCTGAAGATTGAAGCAGTTTGCCTCAAACAAACACCAAAAAAAGCAACCAGGCAACCACAGAACAACGCCAAGCTAGGGCATCAGAACTCCCATCCTCCGCCCTAGGAGTCGCTCGACTCCACCCAAGTTCTCCGTCCTCACCATGGCCTCGGACCCACCTCCGGCCGACCCGCCAGGTGCGGCTGACGCTCCGTGCCGAGGAGGAAGTCTTGCATGAAGAGGTGGGCATGGTCCGCGGAAAAACAACACCGTCCCCACGTATACCAGAACTGTTCTTGGATGGGTCTCCCTACTCAACGGCGACCAGCTGGCTTTCGTTCCTTTCTTTTTGCTGGGGCCAACGGGCTCATCACTCCTGAGACGCTTGACCGACGCCCCTTCGTCACGGCACGTCGAACAACACCGACGTCGTACCGGTGTGCCGTCGCTGGGTGCGCCGTCGGGCCATGGGAGAGGGAAGACGTGAACCCGTCAGCGGTTGGAAGAGGTGGGTGGGTTGGAAGGACGGGTACTTTCACCACAGCCGGTGTTTGGGCCGGTGTTTGGGTCGAAAGCACACCGGTGTTTTGGCGTCTGGCGAGGAGAGGCGGAGAGGCGTTCGATACAGGGACAGACTTGGGCCCGTTGGCCCGTCCCCACAGGTCCTTTTGAGCGCGGAAGGTCGGCAAGAAAGCCATCACCGATTGAAGCGTCAGCCTGGACCTTCGAAAGCACCCTAGAAAATAGGACATTGCCCTATCATAACAAGTACTTGTATTCATGTTCTGAGGTACTTTGAGACTCCAGGAGGTTTGTTAAAATATCATGATGTTACCCTAGTGCTCCAACTGCCTCCTGAGAAGATTATTATGGTAGGTTTGTGGGGTCTAACCACCTTCTCAAGATTTGGTTGGAGGCCTACAGTTAATCAGACCATCCATGTATATATTATATATTATAATATAATGGACAAGTTTCATACATGTTCCCCATGTTTGACGTCGGTAAGTATTCCATACATGGTCTGGGATAGATGCTTGCAGGTTAATTCAACCCCAATAGCTGCTGTTTCAGATGCGGGCACCCAGCTTGGATTCGTTGGGGCTGTTTTATGTTCCCTCTGATTCGAAGTTGATGTCCTGGCGGAACTGACCCAAATTAGTGGATGTAACAAGTTTCTGGTGATGGCTCTTGGGTGGTTCAAAACCATCATCAACTCTTCCAACAATGGGAACATTCACACCCTTTGTCTGGTAGTTGAAGACGACCCCGCCAAAAAATGGACAATGCACACAATGCACTGCACACGATCGACGTGACATATCTCTGAGCTGAAAGAGATCTTTAAAAGCCTTTGTTGTGCAAGGGTTGGCTCTGTCACAACCATGCCCAGAAGATGGCGCAAAAACAGTAATGATTCAAGACCTTCCAGTCACCAGTCAATTGCCCAAGAGCTTGACCCAATTCGTTTTCGCTGCAGGATCTGTAATTCATTGGATCCAACTCGTTGCCTGGCCACGTCATCTCGAAAAACAGCACCCTTCAGATCCACAAAGGGTTCTGAAGCCTTTTGTCGGCGTTTTTCGTGGGATTCAGAACCCTTCATGAACGAATTCACTCTGCTCCCAACCGCGTCACCGCGTCGCGTTCGCGTCTTCGCCACGCCACGTCTATGGCTGCCAGCGGCGAAAGCATCGGCTGTCATGTCCCGTTTTGATCTTATAGGACCACGCATGGAATCCCTCTAGCCGCGCGAATAGGTATAGGCGTGAGGATCTCCCACTACCTTTGCTTCTTTTTGCTTCGACCACGCATCGAAGGAAGACTGTCCACCGCACCTGTCCCGTAGGTGGTGTGCTTGACCTTCGATTGCCCTGTGGCGGCCACGCAGATGAGCACCGCACCTGGGAGGCACGTGTCCGACGTGAGTGCCGAGAGACTCGACTGAGTAAAGGTGATGAAAGTAGCGACCTTTCCTTCCTTTTCTGTTGGTTTCTAGTCGTGGTGATAGCCTCCAACCTAATAGCGATGGCCTCCAACCTAGCAGTATAACCTGACATGATGTTCTGCTCATCTGAAAGCAGAGGTTTTGGAAGCTTTGGTTTTGTTGTTCCTGTCCAGTGAGCATGATGCGTGAAGCGGAATGATATGCTGCTCTATGAAGAGCTACAAAGACAAATCTCCTGGTTCTGCTTATGAGGTGATTGTTTATCTTCCCGAACTGGATAAATCCCAGTCTTGGGGAATATATGTTTTAAATATGTGGCTTCCTTTCATTTATGAAGCAATACCAAAGATATCCAGATCCCGAAGTCGGTTCCGATGAAATCCACTAGTGAAGTCTTTTGGTGGGAGAACTGCCTATGCATTGTTGCCACAAGGAGCGGGTGATTTTTTGGTCAAAACGAGAAAGGATATTGCTTTCCTTCAACAGCAGGCTGCTTGCAATCACCTTGGCGGCCCAAAGTCTAGCTGTCCGCTACGATTATTGCGTGAACTCAGAAAACAGTCTCAATCTTCATATTCAAAAAAGCAGTTGGCCTCCATGCTGGTTGACCTTGGCCAGACGATGATTTCAGGGTGAGCTGACCGCAAAAACTTGCACGCCGCCTGAACACCACTGCCTTCGTGTACACCACTGCTTCGGGTGCCATATATTGGCTCCAAAGGACTTCTATTCTTGACCAGATACCACAGTTCATTGGACAGCAGGGGTGCAATGGACACTTTGGAGAGCATTGCCCAATGAAGACCTGTTCCAAGCCTTTCCAAGCCGTGTCGTGATATGACGTGACGGGACGCCGAAGTCACGTTGGGACGCTCTTCATACTTTGGGATTGGGGATCTCGTGAATTGTAAACACGCCCTAGGGATCCAAGGGAGACCCCATGACCCATGACCCATGAACCCCCCAAAGAAGACCCCCCAAAGCCCCCCATGACCCATGGAAGAAGGACAAATTCAATGTGAATGATTGGGTGCGGGACTCGCCTTTTACAATACCCTATCCTATAGGGATCCAGTCGTACCTTCTCAGGTTCGGTACCTTGGAACCTCCTGTGGCGCCTACATGTCTCACTGTCGAACACATCACCTGAGAAGGTGCGACTGGATTCCTATAGGGAATATGTTCACCTAGTTTGCTCAGGGCCATTTACGACCGTCCCGTGACGGGTTTATCATGTTTGGTGACCCATCCAGCCAGGACCTCGGTCCTTTATAAAGGGGTGTCCTGACTGGACATGATTCATGTGAGAGTCCCGTCCCTTTTTCCACACTACACCCTGGAAGACTCACATAGACCCTGAAAAGCACTGGTTGGTAGAGGCAAACGCTCTTCCAGGGGGCCATTGTCAGGGTCCATATACATACTTGTTTTGACAGTCTGGCATTGGACGTTGGCTGTTTTAGGCTTGAGGTGCAGTAGGACCTGCAGCAGCTGTCACGGCAGTCTTCGGATTGATTGGATTCCGGTGACCGCCAGCCAACCCTTGTGTGTCAGTTCAAATCATTTTGCTGCCAGATCACAGAAGGGTATAAGCTGCCATTTCTGCCAGGATAGCAGTTTTTGAAAGGAAACCCTGGTTTGTCTTAAGACCGTTTGCTTGTTCGAAAGACCAGTCGCTCCTGGATGGGCACCGGGTCCCGTCGTCAGTTACGCGTTTGTACGTACGCGACCACTCAGGGTACGACGGACCGAGCGATGCTGTGCGGTCCGGCGCGTCCGCGGGCAGGTCCTGCGTGACGCTCGTCGCGGAGTCCCTGGGACGCCAGCAGATCCTCAGCGCTTACGCTGAGCGGCTCGGAGAGTCCCAGATGCCTTGGAGGCGTGCGGAGAGAAGAACGAATCGAGGGGAGGAACTGGTTCGGTGCAGGGGGAAGGGTGGTTTGATGTTACTATCAAAAAAAGACAATCGTTCAGTTCAGCCTCACAATAGTGCACCCAAAAAATAGAAGTGAAACTTGATTCATAATTGTGTATAACTTGTTTCAATGCCATAATGCTTCACAGATTGCAGTCTTGAATTGCGCAGTCTTCAAGCACTTTAAAAGTTATGAGCACAGTATGTTTAATGTATGTTTATTCACATTTGCAATTAGCTTGCGATTACAATTTGAATTCCCCAAACAGCTTTGCTGTGAGGGGGGCTCAATTCTTGCATAGAAACGATGCTGGGCCAAGATGATTCCCGCCCTTTGTCTCCCTTGTCTCCGATGGCGTGTCTGGATGCTGGGCTGAGATGATTTTGCTTTGTCTCCCCTTGTCTCCCATCGCGTGTCTGGATGCTGGGCTGAGACTACTTTGCTTTGCCTCTCCTTGTCTCCCCTTGTCTCTTTTGGCGTGTCTGGATGCTGGGCTGAGATGACTTTGCTTTGTCTCCTTTCGTCTCCCTTTGTCTCCCATGGCGTGTTTGGATGCGGGGCTGGGATCACTTTGCTTTGTCTCTTCTTGTCTCCCCTTGTCTCCCATGGCATGTCTGGATGCTGGGCTGAGATGATTTTGCTTTGTCTCCCTTTGTCTCCCAGTTGTTGTTGTAGAGGACGAAGGTCCGTTCACAGATCATCCTCCGTTGGCAAACAAGGTGACATTCCGGGACTTGTCAGGATCTTGAGAGGTTGCAGTTGCAAGCTCGTGAAGGACAAAGTTCTGTTTCTCGAGCTCAGGCTGTGATTAGTTGGGATCATCATCAAGTCTTGGATACGTTTCGCCACTCGAATAGGAGAGTTTCGAGGGACTCAGGTGGTATCTATCCAAGGGAGACTCGGGACATGCTCAAGTTGACAGACATCAAGGTTGCTCAGATTGTTCTCTCCTATTGCCACGCGGAGTTCAATGAGAAACGTCTTGCGCTGTGCATCAAACCAACCGGAACTGGCAGGAACATTTCTCAGCCGAAAGCCCACAGGTGAGAAAGGCAAACTTGCCGTGCTGCGAAGGTTGTTTACTCTTGATTCGTTGGTGTATCACGTGGACGATTCACCAGAGGTTCTTGAGGAGATCAGCAACTTTATCAAGGCGAACCCACAGTGTGCGTGGGTGGTGTTGGGCTTTCGAGTTCCTCGCAAGTGGGCTGTTCCGGGAGTTTCGCATTATCAGCACACATCGTCTCCCATGGCGTGTCTGGATGCTGGGCTGAGATGACTTTGCTTTGTCTCCCTTGCCTCCCTTTGTCTCCCATGGCGTGTTTGGATGCCGGCTTTGTCTCTTCTTGTCTCCCCTTGCCTTCCATGGCATGTCTGGATGCTGGGCTGAGATGATTTTGCTTTGTGTCCCTTTGTCTCCCCTTGTCGTCTCCCCTGTCTCCCCTTGTCTCTCACCCTCTATAAATCTTAGTTTGATTTAGCCTCGACTGAGTTAGATGTTTGTAATTGCTTAGGTCTGACTTAACTAAGTCAAAGTTAAGTCAAATAAGGCAAACTTGGCCTTAGCTTGGACTTGGTCAGTCGAAACTAAGTCCGAGAGTCCAGGCTTAGTCTAAGCTAAGTCCTAGCTAAGAGAGATTTAAGACTAAAATGACAGGGAAGCATTCAAAGAATTGTCTGGCACATATCCCCTGTAAGACTAAAGTGAAGTAAAAACACTGTCAAACATGGTCACACATGTTTTTCGCATGTTCCTTTCAAAATTAAGAACAGACACCTTGGAAGACTTGGCTTAGACTTTTTTGGGTTCTGCTCGGACAGCCCAACCTAAGTTCAACCACAGTTCAGCCTGAGTCAACCCTAAATCGAAGCTAAGTCTTCCATAGCCAAGTCCACGCTCAGTCGGTCCTAAGTACTTATATATGTCTACATCAAACTTAGCTAGCATTAGAAAGCCATCGACCCGGCAAGTAGTTCTGCACTTGCTGGGTGAAACACACATGCTCAAGTCCAGTGCTCAGCCACAACAAATCATGGTTGCGTTCAGCAGTACAAAGTCCTCAAGTATCAAAAAACAGTTTTTTGGCACCCTCCTCTCAAAAGGAAGGTTGTGATATAATGAAACCGTTTTTCAACAAAACCACCTTGTTTTGCACCAGGGGTGGTGCCGATGGAATAATGTTGGTGTTTGCGCGCTGCCCACACGCGTGAACCCATAAGGTTCAGCAAGTCCTTTTATCAAAATTTGTAAGTTTTTAGATTTTGTTTCCCAAAAATTCCATGCAAACGTATCTGTGGCACACCACGAAGTGCACTGATGATTTTCAAATGTTTGTTTCTAATACTAATTTACCACATGTTTAAATTGAAAACATTTGATATGGGATGCACCTGAAGTGGTCAACACGATCTTTGTATAATCGCGAAAGCTAGCAGCAACTAGGTGGAGTTGTTCTTGAATTTAGCAAGTGAGGGGCACCGCATCGCGTCAAGAGCGCCGCATCGCATCAAGTCTGGCCCCCCCCCATCCGCGGGTTCAACTCTTCCAGACGTCTCTGGGACGTCTGTCAGCTTGCATTTGTATAGACACACGCACTGCATCGAAATTGGATTTCCGGAACCAGCTTCCTCCCTGCAGGTCTAGCTGAAGCCCTCACCCCGCCCTGCTAGCTTTCGTCACCAATCGGCAATCGGCCTCCAGTATGAAGTATATAGTTACCTGCAGCTGAGTGGATCACATCCCTATAGGGATCCAGTCGTACAATCGGAACGAAAGTACAACTGGACCCTCATGCCACCTACATTGGAGTGTCGAACACATCACCATACCTAAAAGGTACGACTGGATCCTTAGGGTGAAGCAGAAAACAGAACCTGACGGTTAGAATGATATCACTTATCACCCTGTTGTCCTGGAGGATTCGAGGACGAACACTGGTTTCATCGGTGCTTTGGGCGATCTATGTGAATCTACGTGTGCACATGCACCTATAGTCAATTTAAACTAGTTTAAAGTGGCTTTCTTTCTTTCTTTCTCGAGCGCCAAGGACGATTGTCTGCGGCAATTGCATTAATTATGGTCATTGAATTTAAGCTGTTGGCCTTTATTCCCAAAATCCTGCCCCATTTCAGCATTGACGTCAAAAGAGGCATTAAGGGCCACAATAACCTCTTCAAACCAACTGGGATTCTGTTGGGCATCTTTGGGAATAGGCTGTGCATTGGCACACAGAGTGGCGATCGCTTCGCACAAGCCAGGTGGGTATACCTTAAGTTCGGCAGTTTTCCACCGGCCCTCCGTGTCTTTGCCAATGGCTGACGCGAGCGGCAACTGTGTAGTGCGCTGGTGGTAAAGGGTCTCCTTTGCGTCATCCGCCCCGTTCACAAGCAACAAATCGGTAGGCTTAACCGTTTTGCCGCCGTAATGGCCCTGCAGAACGCGGACTTTGGAGACCCTGGGGAAGAGCTGGATCACTTTGAGGATCGATGTCTTCCATATGGAAACAAGGTGCGGCTCATCTTCGTCTCCTGCCGGATGCTCAAGTACTACGGTTTTACCGTGTACGAGCGCCACACAGGTGAGCTTGAGGGCTACGGCCAATAGACGTGACCCAAAAGTGACTTGTTCGTCTTCCTTTCGGGTCAAATCAACTTTCCCATATGGCCTAGCATTCGTTCTCACGACGCGGGGTCCTAAGGTGCCATCACTGAGAGCCCTGCCTCGGGCCCGCGACCATGTTTCACACGGTGGGCCCGCAACGAAGCCCTGGAGCACATTTTGCTCAAGAGCGCGTCGGAAAAGGTTGAAAGTTTCCGGTCGATTCAAATCTCCTAAAGAGACGTTAAAGATAATGTCAACAGAAATCATCACACAGCCCTTCTTTTCAAGACACTCCTGGATATCAGCTGTCCTTCTGTGCCCTGAAAACAAATGGGCGAAGATGACCGGCGCATGAATCGGCTCTCGGTAACAAACAAAAGCCTGCTGGTGCATCTGCGCGGCCAATCGCTCCATACAAAGGCTGGCATCCTTGTGAGGACTTAGCTTCTGGCATCCTGTTTGAAACCATTCGAAAGCAAATCTGTCCTCAAAGATTCGTAGAATTCCAAGGTGCTGCAAATTCAGTTCTTCTGTTTGGGCAGCATACGCTTGCCAGTTTTTGTAGGTTTGTCGGATTTCAGACGGAAAGAGACATGTGTTCTTGGTCACAATCCGGAGCCGTTCAAGCAAACCATCGGCATCTTGGAGCGGAACCAAGGCTTGTGTCCATGCCTGCCATAACCTACTGGTTTCCCCATCAACAAAGGGGTCTCCTTGGTTCTCAAGCGTGGAAATTTTCTTGGGCCCCTCACCTTGTAGAACTGGGTCAGCAAGAACTTCTCTGCTCTGATTGGCCTTTCTACTATTAACACCTGCCTCAGGCTCTATGATGATGGCACCGGTCATGTATCGGTGGAGACACTTCTGACTGCGCTTAACATGATTTTGCAGATTGAGGACTGATGAGTAGTGCTTCAGGCAGCATACACACTGTCGTCCATCTACGAAATATCTCGTGACATTTCGTCGCGAGTGCATCTTAAAGGCATGTACCGCTAATGCAGCTGGCGTAGCAAAAATCTTCGCGCATCGGAGGCAAAAGTGTTCATCTGGTGCAGAATTCTCAGGGATGTTGAGCGCTTGGTGCTCAGACAAAAATCTAAAACCCAACGCTGCAACTGATCCCATTCATGGCGTCGCCTCTGGTGAGCAATAGCTCGTGCTTGGGCTCTTTTCAGCAAGCGCTTCCATGGCAGAGGCCGTCGATTGGCCCAATCTACCAGCAAAGGCCAGCTGTCAGCAGATCCATCAGGGATTTCATCTTGGGTACACAAAGACTGCAGCCATGACAGATCTTCAACAACAGTCGAGTACCATCTCTGCTCCAACTGGACCAAAGCCCAAAAGTGAGGCTGGCCCGTG